TGGCTGATTTTCATGTGACATTACTTTAACATTCGTATAAATCTTTTTTTTGATTGGCTAAAAAGATATGCAAGGTCAGAATATCAATTTCCTTATTTGGGACGGTCTCCCCTGTTGGTTTAGAGTGAAATCTGCTACGTAGATCACATGAGAGTTGAAATCCGCTTTTGTATAATAAAAAACATAGGATTTCACCCTAACCCTAATACAAACTCGGATTTCACACTAAAACCCGAGTTTTACTAGCTGGTGACTCAGGTTTCATCCAGTCCTAAAATAATTATTTATAGTTGATTTTTTTAATCAATAACAAGTAATAAATGGTATCGGTATAACTTAATCTAAAATTCATATATAAAAAGTTTTTTTTTTTGTTGCACTAAAGAATTATTATTGGAAAATAAAATAGATGTTTATAATACAGTATATCTCTAAGCTTGTTCTAAATTCGAATTTCGAACATGTTTTAGAGGGTTTTTTTTGAAACCTGGTCAAGTATAAAATATTTGATTTTTTAGATTTTTTCTAAATATTAATAAAGTTATCTGAAATTGGTCTGAATATAAAAGTTGGTCTGAATATAAAGTTGGTTTGAATATAAAAGTTGGTTTGAGTCACCATATTATTATTGGCCTAAAAGTGTTGCCTTACATTATATCGAAGCATAAATGGCTATTAGAATAACTTTTTTAATACAGTAGATGTTATACTGTATAAAAGTGGAGAAATTTTTGATTTTGGACCGGTTACTCTAATTCTCAGAAAGTGGAACTATAGTCATTCACACAAGACATATAGCGACTAGAATCAAATGATTTTGTACATGAATTACATTTATATTAATTTTTTTTTATTGGAAATTTCTATGCTAAGTGTATAACCAAATATGTCTAAAGCAATAAACCCTCCATGAAAATAGTGTAAAATAATCTATAGATTTTTTTAACATCACTGCAATATATTACGAAACAATAGATTTTGTATAGTTATTTATTCATCAATGTCCATTTTGTCATCCTCATCAAGACTTTGGCCACCCTCATCAAATGAAAGATCGACATCTGGGTAGTTAGTATTAGTCTCATCCGTATCAAACATTTGAATGTCATTGTCATCTTCGATTTCAAAAATCTTTCCTTTAGAATCAATCGTATAATCGTCTGAATTACCATTATCATCATCTTTAACAATATATCCATCATTGTTTTGGCGATATAAAATCATTTCTTTCCCATAAACGTTTTGATCATCATTTTTTACATTTTCAAGCTGTGATCGCATGTACTTATTGAATGCTTCTTGATATTGTGCGGTAAACTCGATCTTTGTTGAATTTTTCCCTTTAATTATCATTGAAGTATTAGAAATATTGAAAGTTGAAGGACGAGTTGTGACACAGTTTTTAAATTCTTGAACTGTATCAACGGTGTGTTCAATTAATTTTGGATTATCTTCCTCTATATCTTCTATATAATTTTCAGTTGGAGTTTCTGAAGTTTTAATTTTTTTATAAAAATTGGTGTTGACTTCGTCTATATTTAAACACTCAGTAGAAGAAAAGTCCTCATTATCGTTTTCGACAAATTCGATTGGGCGTTTTAATTTTTGTCGTTCTTGTTCCACGTTTGAAATAGGTTTCAGAGACTCGCCTGTAGAAAGATCGATAATACGAGAGGTTTCTGAATAGGATTCGGATTCTACATCGACTTGGTTCTCTTTGAGGTCAATATTATTAGATGCAAATAATGACACTAATTTTTTGTCACTACCATGATAACGAAAAGTTGAAAATGGTAGCGTGGACGAATGAACACTGTTAACCAAGTGAGGAGTCTTGACTCGCTTATTCACATTATAGGAAGGTTCGTCGGTTTCAAAGTAAAACCGTTTTCTCGAGCATCCTTTATGTTCAGAAGTAGGGATTTTAAAGGTTTGTCGTTGTAGTGTGGCACTCATACTTAATGAATAATGTTTCTTTCAGCAGAAGTTTAAAATAGTATAGCGATTGTTTTTGAATGAATTATGTACAGAAAAATTAGGCTGTTTGTGCAAGGGAGATGAATTTTATAAGACGATTCATTACTAATTTATTTATTTATTTTAAAAAAAATCGATCATGATTTATAAAGAACTTTGTCGAAACTTTTAGAAAGTTCTTTCCGCAATTACTTCATTTATAATAGACCAGTATGTTCCCTTATTTAGGCAGGCACGAATTTGTGCGTAACACGAAGTTTTTGGTTTCACGTGCTAAATTTGTTATAATACCAGATACGTAGATGCGCAACCAAATCGGCATGATCGAATATAATCCTTTTAAAATTAGGTATTTTTCAACACTATTAACAGCAAGAGATATTTCCGCTTACAGGGGTTCAAAATGTTTTAATTATAACTCAATGTACCTTAATTTCATATATAAATTTATGAAAAAAATTTATTTAATCTTGATTTACTTAAAAAAAAATAAAAAATTTTTTTTTTAAAGTAGAATCTTTATTTTTTAGTATTTAACATTTCTTTTTTATAAATTTTTGCAGAGTATTAAAAATATAGTTTTAAGAAGATTTTGATTTAAAGTTGAACTCTTCTTTATTATATTCTTTAAGTCAAAAAACTAGTTTTATATTTTATATAATATGATTAGTTAATTAAAAATAAAGAAATTTTTATTAAGTAAAGATTTTTTATACTCTTAAGTTGTAAAGCTCTTTAACAATAATAAAATTATCAAGATTAAACTTATTTTTAATGAAATATTCATGTTTAAAGAGGGTTCGTATTATTTCACAGACACTCAACTCACAGACATGCCACTTCATAAACAATCAATTCACTGACAAGCTTATTTCATAGACAACTAATTCCTAGACAAGCTCATTTCGTAGACAACTTATTTAATAGATAGCTCACTTCATAGACAAGTTTATTCCTATAAACTTCTCTAATCCTAACTCTAACCCTAACCCTAATCTAATAAAAATAATGTCTGTAAAATGAGATGTCTATGAAATAAATTGTCTATAAAATAAGCTTGTCTAGGAATTAGTTGTCTATGAAATAAGCTTGTTAGTGAATTGATTGTCTGTGAGGTAGCATGTCTGTGAGTTGAGTGTCTATGAAATAAGTGCTACCTATTTAAAGATATAATTTTAAGGATTTGTAAAATAAATATTATATAAATTGTTTGTATAATATTTATTTTATTATTATTTTTTTTTTGTTATTAAGATTGTCTTCTTGGCCAATTAGATTTTATTAATTTGTTATTACAGAGTTACTAAAATAGTAATCTTCTAAGGTTTTATAATTACATAATGAGTACACAACAAGCTATATATATAACTTTAATCATTATTTAATTTAAGTAGTCTACTATACAGATAATTGACTATTTGTTAGTTCTATACTATGCTGCTATATTTGTAACCTACCTGTGAGTTACCTATTTAAATACTTTAATTATTAACTCTTTCTCCTATTCCAAATTAATGTTACTACTCACAACTCTTTCCATAGATTCTAATTTCCAAAAATAAACAAAAGTTGAAAATATAGTAGCGTCATAGCTTTGGTAAAAACTAGTATATTAATAGCTTAATAAGCAATAATATTAAAGCTAGAGTATCTCCCCATATCCTTCCAAAAGAAGTTTCAAGGAAAACAAACAATAACTACTAAAGTTCTCAATGAAACTTCTTTAGAAAAATTTTTAAATGACAAAAAGTGAGAAATTGTTGATATCTGGTACTGCAGATCTCTTAGGTTACACAAGATACTATGTAAATCTAGAAGTAAACAAATACGTGTTTGATAAACATAAAGCATATACACTTACTTAAAACCAAACAACTTTTGAGAGCTTAGATTTATTTAAAAAATTCACTATAATAAATCATAAAAAATATAGGCTACAAAGATCTAAAGTATAGTATATATAATTCCACTCACGTAACTTAAACTGAAATACGATAAGAAAAATTTAGAAAGATGGAAGAATATATATCAAATCTTGAGAATAGGCAAGTAAGAATTAAAGCTGACATCTAAGAAAGAAAAGATAGAATCAAGTCCCTTCTCAAAGAAGAATTTTTATAAAAACTTATTAGAAAAATCGATAAAATAGGAAGGAGTCAAGAAAAAATAGATAGTTATATTTCAAGAATCACAGAAATCAAAATAAAAACTATCTTAATAGCTAGAGCTTAGCAAAAGATTCTAAAAGAAATAATAATCGAAGAAGGAAAAGCAATACTTGATATTGCTTTTGAGGAACTAGAACAAGAGCTCCAAGTATTAACAGAGAATACTAAAAAAAGAACTAAAATCAGAAAAAAAGAAGATTTAGAAAGAGTAAAGATTCTAAAGATTGAATATATAGAGAGACAAGAAGAATCCTATACTTTAGAAGAAATAAGAATCTTTGAGAATGAAAGAGGAACTAAATCTATCATCATAAAAGAAGTCAAAGAACTTAAAGAGAAGTTAATAAATAGGAAAAAAACAGTAGTTGAAATTTTTCTTGATGAAAAAAATCATACGTCTCAACAAAATATATAAGAAAATAGGATAAACAAAGAGACAATTAAAATAGACTCTCTACAACTTCTACACAAACAAGAAATAAGTATAGAATTATTTCTGGAAATTTTAGTAGAAATACCTAAAAATCAAATCTTAGCAAAATGTGAGGAGGTCCTTTTAGAAATATCATAGCTAGAAATTAATTGCCTAAAAGAATACTAGAAGAATCAAATCGAACATGTAGTCTTAATACATAAAGAAGAAAAAGGTAGCTCTATGGAAGATAGTGAATAGTCTAAAAATGAAAATATATGCGAAAGGCAAGAAGAATTTAAAGCAAAAATAGTAGCCTTCTCCCTTTCTAAAAATTCAAAAGAGGATAGAATTAAATTTGTGAGCGGTACAATCCACAAAAGTTGTCATATAAGCAAAATAGAGGAATACTTCATAAAGAGCAACTTCTGAATAGTAATCACCTTTGATTACATGAAAGGTAAACAAATTATAGAGGAAAAATTAAAAAAGAAAGAAATAGAGTGGTATAAAGTAATTTTCGAAGAAACAAACACAAATATAATGATGACAAAAAGCACAGGACTCAAAAACAAAAAAAAATCAGAATCTAAAGGCAAAAACAAAGATTTTACTTGAATCACTCTATGGAACCTTCCTTTAGATTACAGTAAACAAGAAATTACTAGGCTTGTTAAACATTTTGGTTATGCAGAAGAAATAATCTTAAAGAAATTAAGATTCTATCAGTCTGCAGAAATTAAAGTCTATACATGAGGAGAGGAACAATTCAGAAAACTCAAAGCCAACTAGGTAATAGAACTAGAAAATGAAAAGTTAGCACGTATGACTATAGAAAGAGCTAACTCTAAATTCCTAAAGGAAAGAGAAGGATATAGAGCAATTTTAACAAATATTCCAAGCATAGCATAGGAAACCTTACTCTTGTGCTCTCTTCAACAAACAGGAGCTAAAGCAGTCTTTATACCATACAACTCAAATAGAAATCTAAGTCATATAGCTAAAGTTTTTTTTGAATTCTAAGAAGAAATAGATTATATAATAAAAAAGAATATTTATTACTATAATACAAAGCTCTTTTGGAAAAAAGATAAAAATACTAAAACGAACTAACAAGAAGAGAGTTCATCTTCTAAAAAAACAACTGAAATAGTAAGCAGAGTAATAGATTCAAAAGATACAACTAAAGAAAAAACAACAATCAGCAAGAAAGAAAAATACCAGAAGAAAGAACAGAAGTCTTATCTTGAAAATACCTTGGAAGCTAATTTTTCACTTATTCAAGAAGAGATTCTAAAATTAGATATGTAAATACAAAGAATAGAACAAGAAAAAGAGATCAGGAATAGAGCATTCAAAAGCAAAAATGCTTCAAATAGATCCTAAGAGTATCTTATTCAATATACAAAAATTAGCTACTAGTCAGAATAGCAAAATAGGAAACATGAATATGGACAAACAAAATCTGATCTCTCTAAAATCAATTAATAACATTTCATTCTTCTCACAAATTAAGATAGGATTTCACAATATTAATGGTATAAAAGGAAATCTGTATAAAGAATAAGAACTAATTGAACATGAATAAACATTAATCTAGATATAATAGAGATTATAGAACTAATATTCAAGAAAAAGAAGGCCGCTTCACAAAATAAATAAGAAAAACTACTCTACCTACTGGTCAAGTTTAGAAAAAGAAAAACACAAAGGATCAGGAGTAGGAATCTGAATAGAGAACTCATGGACCCAATATCTAACAGAAGTTAAAAGGCCAAATCTCTATTGTATTAAAGCTTCCTTAAGGTTTAAAAAAACAATTCTTAAGGTCTGGCGATCTTAGTGTAGTGGTTAGGTTGCCAGACCGCCATGCAAGAGGTCTGGGGTTCAAATCCCACTG